CACTTTGGAACGACGTGAAGATGAATAAATGATGACAGAATTTATATTTTTGAACAATCCTTGTAAAGGTGCATTCAATATTTATCATTCACCATGCTTTGTTGATCTTGAAATGATGGTAGGCTTTAAGGAACAGAAAATTACAGTTTTTTTTGTTATTATTTTTTTTTTTTTACAGAGTTGTCCAGTACCTTGTCGGATTATGTGCACATTAACACTTTTTAGAGACAGTTCTATCAGTACTCAGTTAAATCTAGCTCTTGGTAAGTCTGATGAAGTGTTAACCTTGCCATGGTAGACATGGATAAACATAGCGCTTCAAGGTCACTCTGTGAGATTGTGAAACATCTGTTTGTCAGAACAGCTCTAGTGAAGGAACATGTTCAATTCATTTCCATGGAATCTGTGAGGTGTGTAATTACTATATATTCTGAGAGAAAATGACTTGTCTGTGCTTACACTCTCCATCATTTTTTGAATTGAAATGGGGTAATTCACATCATTGTGGTTATATCAACATGAAAGTTAATATGTACCTGAATGTTGCTAAAAAATAAAATGTAAAAAATAATTTTTGAATGCAACAGTCAGATTTCTCAGATTATCTACAGTAAATAAAAATAATTAATTCGTTAATTAATAGATAGCTGAAATTAAAAACTTATTGATCAAAGTATTTTATTTAAAAAAAAAAAACAAAATACAAAATACAAAAAAAAAAAAATAATAAATCAATCATGATCATATCATTTCAATCATTAAATATATCAACCTGATAATAGTAAGCCCATGGTAGCAATAATTAATATATGTTTAGACACATTATATGAACAATTAATGTAGGTAATCCATTTATTTATTCGTTGGTCTCCCTATATTGGCTGGTTTAAAAAATATGTGACGAAACAATTTCAAGGGGGGGGAGAAATTAGACGAAAGAGAAACATATACAGCAATAGCCTACATAAGAAGAACTGAATTTAGGGAATTTCTAAAGCTTTACCAGTGGGAACCAACAGAAAAAATAGCATACTGCTCAGTAGTGACTTTTATTATGGTGTGTATTCTACGACCAACCGGAACACGCTTACTGTGATCAGTATTTAAGTACCTTAACAAAGCAAATAAGTATCAGTCACGTTTAAAAATGAACCGAATTTTCGGTCGGAGCAAACAAACGCCTACTCCTAACCTTTCTGACTGCATAGGCAATGTAAGTAGGCTAGTGTATTGTTGTGACTGTCTCACGGAACATGAGTGCAGCATCCTGATTGGTGTTTGCATGTCAGACATTGATGTACTGTGGATGCTGTGTGCTATTCCCAGGTGGATACGAGGATCGAGTCAGTCGATAAGAAAATAGCGAGAATCGACGCAGAGCTAATGAAGTATAAGGACCAGATGAAAAAGATGAGGGATGGACCCTCAAAAGTGAGCATCAGAGACTGGAGTTGATATCATGTCAACATGCAATAATGCTGCAGTCTCTCATTCTGTCTACACAGGCAGCTGTACAGTGAGATCCAAAAGTCTGTTTTGCCTTTTCAATACATTTTTTAAATTAAAAGGAATATTATCAACATTATCAAAAACTTGTGAATAAAATTTAATTTTTAATTGAAAAATTAACATGAATGACTTAGTTTTGTAAGTCCTCCCTCTGATAGCAGCACTCGAGCCAGTGTAAATAAAGACAATATTATAGTTTATTAATATTTAGATTTTTTTATATATTTTAGTTAAGGTTAAATTCATTTTGTTTTTGTAATTTTTATTAATTTTTTTTAAATTATTATTTTTTTATTTGTTTTATTTTACTTTTAGTTATCTTAGTAACATATAATGTATTTATACGAAATGAAAATGAGAAATGTTGCCAAATACATATATCTAATATATATACAGTATCTCACAGAAGTGAGTACACCCCTCACATTTTTGTAAATATTTTATTATATCTTTTCATGTGACAACACTGAAGAAATTACACTTTGCTACAATGTAAAGTAGTGAGTGTACAGCTTGTATAACAGTGTAAATTTGCTGTCCCCTCAAAATAACTCAACACACAGCCATTAATGTCTAAACCGCTGGCCACAAAAGTGAGTACACCCCTAAGTGAAAATGTCCAAATTGGGCCCAAAGTAGAGCCCGACCGATATATCGTTTAGCCGATATTATCGGCCGATATGAGTCCGTCGCCGATATATCGGTATTGGCTAATATGTCGCCGATATGAACTTTTTTTTTTACAGAACATATAACGCAAATAAAATGCTTGAAATGGCAAGAGCTTGTAACACTCCAAAGAGAAAGGAAAACTTGAAATCGCATCATATGACCCCTTTAAGTCTATGCAAAACCATTAAAACTTTGAACGGCCATATCTCCATAATGGCGCAGCGAATCTGCACCAAATTCGGGTGATCCCTTCAGCTTGAGGAACCCTCTCGAATGTGAATCGAGTGTACGTCTCGAGGCCCTCTTTCGAATGAGACCACCCCCGCGTCGATAGCCCCTGGGGTTCGGTAGTTACAGGTGGTTAAATTCGCGGTCCGGCTCCGACCGATCAAGCGATCCCTGGGGGCTACCGACGCGTGGAGGGTGGCGTTCAAGCTGTACACTCACTACTTTACATTGTAGCAAAGTGTAATTTCTTCAGTGTTGTCACTTGAAAAGATATAATAAAATATTTACAAAAATGTGAGGGGTGTACTCACTTCTGTGAGATACTGTATATATAATTTATATATACAATATATATATAATTTCAGCTACAATTTCTCATTATATATATTATATATTATATTTCAGCTTAATTAACTCCACAAGTTTATGTAAAAGCTGATGATCCATAGATCACCTTGTGTATCATCTGACCTTGAGAATTTCACAAGTTCACAAATCTACTTTATTTTTTGGGATTTTGAATCCCAGATTTTCAATGTGGTTTAAAATTTTTGATCATACACAGTTCTGTAAGTGTGAGATGAACAATCTGTTTACAGAATGCAGTGAAACAGAAGGCGATGAGAGTACTAAAACAAAAGAGAATGTGAGTTTTTCCCTGTACTAATATTCATTTGTAATGTGTGAAATGTTTATTTCAATATCTAAGATTATGTTTCCATTTCACGTTTAAAAAGGAGGAAAATATTTTATAATAATAATGTTAAATTCTGTTTTTGCTTTTCTTTTCACTGTATTATGCAGGTATGAAGGTCAAAGAGATCAGCTTTCCCAGCAGTCATTTAATATGGAACAAGCCAACTATACTATCCAGTCTTTGAGGGACACCAAAACAACAGTAAAGTTTTGTTATTTAACTTTACAGCTGTCCATATTATTCTAAGCACTATTGTATTTTTTATTTTTTTTTTTTCATTTTTTAAGTCATAAAATGTTTATTTGTTTATTTATTTATTTTTGAGATCCCACTTCTTCTTATGTGGTATTTTCCTAATAAAATAAATAAATGCAATAATAT